TACTTTTATGTTATTCTATTAGAAATCACTTAAAATTTATGTCATGTATTTTGACCATTTTAGTGATATTTTTTTTAGAAATGATTCTTTATTTCTCTATTAAATATTCCGTTGTGTCTATGTAGTGACTGAAGTCGACACTCGACTGAAGTTGAACTTCAGTTGACTGACGTTTCAAGTGACTGAAATTAGCCCTGAAATTTACGCATTAGTTAGCAATTTTAGGCAGGGGTAACTCGTATGGTTGATTTTGATTATTAAAAATAAATTATAATAACCCATAATTTGATCCAGTCATTTATGTAATATTGCAAAATTGTCGGTATTAAATATTAAAATAAGGAGCAGGTATTTTTGCTCTGCGTTATTTTTCAATTTCTGTAATCTAACATAGTAAAATAATCTAAAATAGTAAAACATTGGATAAAACCGTCATTGCATGCTGCTTCGAAATTGACACATCATTCGTAAATTTTAAAAAAACATGTATTATTTTATAATCAATATATGTCATGCGGGTTAGCAGTAGGTGGGTTCCTACTATTGATCTAGCTTGGCTACGTGAGTACGGCTTCGAATCGTTTGCGTTCGCTTTACACTACAGAGGCTTCCGCGACGTTCACCACTCAACACACATTTACAACACTACTTCCACGGCGCACAAGACACTGGGGCCAATTCCACACAGGTAGGTAACGATTTATTTATATATACAGGTACTGGTTATTTACTAGCGAAAGGTAAAAGTTACTTTTTATTATTAATTCTTTACCTCTATATATACTAAATTTGTAGTCTATTAGACTACAAATTGATGACTACATACTTTATACAAGATTACGCACAATCTATCATAAACTACAACTTATGATGCACAAGCTATATTAAACTAAGGCGCACAATTATTAATATACTTTCTTGTGTTACATTATAGATTTGACCGATATACTATTGTTCCCGACTCACCATGTCACCTGTGCGGTCCCATGGGACCTCGAAATCACGTGTTCCTTCTGAATTCGATCGATCGAGACTTAGGTTTTCGAAGCCCAACATACCTCGAACGTAATATATAGGGTATCGATCATCGTCATGACAGGAGCTAGACCAGTGTAGGAAATCTGATGTTCTCAATGTTCTCTGAGAACATCAATTTCCCGATTTTTTATTAATAAACATATAAAAAAAATGCCTGAGAACATTAAAATTGATTTAGATTTCCAACACTGAGCTAGACCCCCAAGACCTTCGTCCTCGAAGTCTGCACAACCTTCGTTATTATTCCCATTCATCCATGCTTCCCTTTGCTTTAACCTTTTAACCCGATTCCTGGTGAAAGGACCCCTCAACTCACTGCCGTCCATCTCATTCAAATACAGGTGATCATTCTGTCCAACTTTCCTTACTACGTACGGACCAACCCATCTATAATCCAACTTGCGGGGCGAATTATCAAGTGTTGAATCATATACCAGCACCAAATCACCAACATCGATCTTTTCTTTACTTTTGTTTGCATGTTGGTCATGAATTTTTTTCCATCATTCACGGAGCTCATCCCAGTTTGTTTTTGCTTCTTTTAGTTTATTAACTAGCTCTTTTATTTGCAGCATCCCAAAAGCCAACAGTTCATCAGTACTCCAACTTTGTTTGGTCACAAAGACCTGGTAACTTTCAAGTGTCAATTCAACCGGCATTATGGCATCATGACTATACACTAATCTAAAAGGTGAGTAGCCCAATTCACTTATAGTCACATTAAGGGCCCACACTGCAGCGCACAAATGTTCATGCCATCAGTTTTGTGCTTCGGCCATACGCTCAGCTCTACCATTTGCTTCTGGGTGATAACTGGCAGTAAATTGTTGCTTTACTTGCAACTGTGCTGTTAACTCCTCCATTATTTTATTTTTGAATTCAGTTTCTCTATCTGAGGTTAATTCAGCGAAACATCCGTGTCTGGTAATCACTTCTTCCCACAAAAATGTAGCAATTAACTTTGCATTTTTGTTTCTCAATGCATGTGCTTCTATATATCTGGTCAAGTCTTCAACAGCAACCACTATATGTTCATGACCCACGGATGTTCTTGGCAAGAGCCCAATGCAATCTATATAAAGTTTGTGGAAAATCTAACTGGTTGCGATCACGTGGATAGGTTCTCTGAGTTGTTTGTTGATACACATTTGGCATGTTAAACATGACGATATATAGCTTTTAATATCTTCATATATACTCTATTATCCCACACATAATTCAATAGGAACTTCCTGGCTGTCCCTTTTATTTCATAGTGTCCTCCTTCCCCTGCAAGTCTTTTGTGATTAGCCTTTATTATTT